ATTCACTTCCTTTAGTTTGAAAGTGAATGCAAGTCTAATCAGTGACACTAAGATTCTGTTTCTTTTGAAAAATGATGCAGATTCTGGAGAGCCCTGCCTGCCAGTTTTCTGTGATTGAAGCTCAGAGCATGGGAAGTTGTCAGAGGTGTGTGTGCATGGACGAAGTCTGTACACAGGGAGTTATTTCTGGCTTTGTTAATTACCAGTCAGAAATGGAAACTCGCCTTGAATTTTCAGTACCTTTATCATTGCTGGATTTCATCAGGTAAGCAAAACTGCAGTTTTAAAGATGTGTATATTCAATTGAATACTGGACAGTGCGGGATTGTCTTAAGTATTGGTTATGAAAGCACAAGGCTTCATCTTGAGTTGACTGGTTTTAATGTAATTGGACTTTTAATAATAGTAATTTGTTAATTTCATGCTTAAAAACGAAACAAACAAACAAAAAAAAACCCAACAAAACTAGGGAGATCTTTTGCATAAATAGAATCTGTATTTTAATTTAGAAACCTAAAGCAAGATACAGAAGCTTTAATGATAAGTTGTGAAGAGCAGGGGTTTACTTAAACTACTCTGCACTTGTTTGATGTTTGCTCTATTCAGAAAGTTTTGTATATAGAATCTTCTTTAGGACACCAGATTTATTCTGATTAATGTACCTTATCCTACTGTGATCTGTGGTGAACTTTAGGCCAATGGAAATGACTACAGAAGACTTTGGGAAGCTGTGGTTGTCTCTTTCCAATGATGTGAAACAGAATATTAAAATTCCATCCTCTCAGGATTCCTTCTCAGCAGCTCTGAGTGTACTGCATCAAAAGCTGAAACTCCACATTGTTGATATTATAGGTGAGTGCAGGTATGCTGTAAGATTGTTTACTGACTTATTTTTCTAGAGAAATAAATACATGGACACAGGTACCTTACACTTCAAAACTGAACATCTGGGAGCATGGTAAACACAGGGACATATAGGGATTTTATTGGCCTTACTCAGCTCTGTGCAAAGGTTGCTGTATAATTGTGAAACAAACAGTACATTTTAAAGGGGGCAAACTTGTAAGCATACTGAAGAGGTCTGGAAAAGATACAAATGTTTGTGGAAAAAAATCAGAGGTTTGTGAATGATGCTATGGCTGTATCTAATTGTTACTTCACTTTTTATCCTGTGGCTTCTGTTATTTTAAGGTAATGAGGGAATACTGGCATGCCAGCTGCTTCCATCTGTGCCATGTCTGCTGCACTGTCGTACTCACTCAGGGATGCTGGCTTTGTGGTTCAGATCACCTTGTTCTGCTCTTCCAGATGGTTTGCTCTATCAGTGTCAAAAGGTGATGGAAGAATCCTGATAACAATAGTACCTGCCTTAATCTATTTGGGGTGCAAAAAGGAAGTGAAGCATTTATAGAGTTACGCTGGTAATTACCAAAGTGAATTTAAGGTATGCTTCTCAGAAGTATTCACAACTTTCTTCCAGCCGGCACTAGTCTTGGACTTGAGAGGGAAGGATGATGACCTAAAATATGCCTGCAAAAACGTGCTCAGGACTGTACAGTGACTACCAAATAATCCATAAAGTACTGTTATCTGTTCAACTGAAATGTAAATTTCTTTTGTTGTAAATGACTGAAAGTACTTACTTTCATTATGCAGCTTTTGTAGGTGTCAACAGTCACTCTTTGTAGCAGTTACCTAAATATGGTTTTAAAGCAAACAGATCTCTTTTATGCACTCAGACTTGAACACTTGCCAGGTTCATTTGATTATCTTAAATTTTTCTAAAATTGTTTTATAAGCACTGCTGGTGGCAACGAGTCCCACATTGGTGGTGGTACAGAGTAACCTATGTAGCAACAAAAGCTATTAAATATTTTAAAAATGGGAGTTTTAATGAGTAATGCACCTGCCATGATCTTGGCTTAGCACTGAAGTATGTAAGCGGAAACATCTTGGTAGGATCTTGGTAGGAGACAGGCATGTGAAATTGTGTTGAAAGCATGTCATGGGATGGGATCTAAGACTCTTCAGTGACTTCCTGTCTGCAGTTCTTTGTCCATGTTCCAGTCCCATTCCCTTTCCTTAGGGGTCAGCAGCACCCCAGTGTTCGAGCCACATCTGAGATGTTTCATGTGGATCAAGTCTGAGATCATGGAGGTGCCTTTCAGACACCTTATATTTAATATGGCTAGATTCTCTGTCCAAGAAAATTCATGTGATGAAAACTTCATTTACATTTTCTAATTATGAATAGCTTCAATATGACAGATGTGGCTGTACTGTGTGTGCGTGCCTGGGAGCTGCAGTAGGGCATATGAGCTCTGAGTTGGTCCAGTGTTTACGATGAATGTGTTTGTATCGTTTCCTCTTCTTCCAGTAATAACTTAACAGCCTTGAAAACCCAACATTCTCAATTTATTTAGACAATATATGAAATCTTTAATACTATAAAAATTATATATATCTTCTGTGGTTTTATTTAAGAACACGAAAATTGTCCGGATGGCTCAGAAGTTATGTAAATGATGTCTGTGGTAGGATTCTCTCTTTCATGAATGTTAATATGAAATTGAATATTAACAAGGAAGTTTTAACTTTTAGTTCTGTTGATTCTTACCCAATAAGCACTGGTTGGAAAGGAGAATAAAGCACTGTTTGCTGTGTTTTGGTAAATGTTTGTGAAATCACTGTAACAATGTTAATGTGCTGATGGTTCCTTTTTTTCTTTAAGTCATGCTGTTTGTATTGTCAAAGTGAAGCTCCTTCTTTTTCTATTGCCATTTCAGTACCTTGTTGAGAAATCTAAGTGCACTGAACCTGTAAATATATTTAATGTTCTGCGTACTTTAATGTTTACTTGTCACTTCAAGAAAGATTATATAGATGAAAGTGGATTGATAGTGGGATAATCTCCAGCAAATGATTTTTCTGCTGGTAAATCTGACTTCTGTTATGCAGTTGGACTTTTCTAATTATGTGAAATGTAATGAAAGTATGTTTTTGGCCTATGCATTTAAACCATGTCAGCATTTCAGTTGTTTGGTCTAGTGTTTAAAAAAGAGAAAAAGCAATGCCTTCTATAACTCGTGTGAATGCTCTCTGACCTTTTCCACTGTATGATAATACATGGTAAGCTATAAATATGCAGTTCTAAGAGAATTATGCTTACATCACATAAAGGGTTTTGCAGAATTTGTACCTATTAGTCTTTATTTCTAGAATGCCCAGCTATAATTTTCTTAATCTCTCACAGTCTTTATGTTTCTTGTAGTTTAATTAAGAAGTAATCAGTTTGTTTGGTGCCCTGCAGATATCACCAGAATGCAGCAGTGTGAAGCCTTGTTCATAGTTGAAGTGGTATTTCCTGTCCTTAACCTTCACCCCCAGTGCATGACTGGGCAAAGCAGTGATGCTGTCCACTTCTGGTATGGAGTTATTAATGATGGTAGGTGTGAAAAATGCAGGGATTTTTTTACTTAGGGAGGGTGTGTGACTTGGTTTCCTTTCTTTCTTGAAGGATTAATGTGATTTCTGGGAAAGTGAAATAAGATGTGTAGAAGTGGGCTAGAAGGAACTGTGAGCGTGTGATCTAATTAGCATGAAGACTTTTACTTTCAAGGACAACTGGTGGCTGCTCTGAGTGTAGTGACTTTCTGAACAGGTGGATTAACAGCATTTTGGAGAGCCTGAGGTACCAGGAGGTTTCACTGTTTCACTGTGGTGTGCTGCAGGCATCTTAGAGTTCAGGACATTTTTGGAGTCAACAGAGAAGTTGTATGGGAACAGTATTTTTCCTGTTTTTATCAGCTTCTCCTGTTGCCAAAGTATTTTCAAGTATTTTTAATGACAGAGTCAAAATTGGTGAAAGTACTTTGTTAGGTATTCCCAGCCCCTCCTGTGAGGAACTAGGATAAATTTGTGTAAGGAATAGCACTGTCTTCAGGGCCTTCTGTGTTTGCAAGTAGCTTGGAAATGATATTGCCTGATGTTTTTTACATATTGGGAAGATAGAAACTTCCTCCTAGTGAGTGCTGTCCATCCACCATCCAGCCCTCAGGCTGTATTATCTGTGTGACAAGGACGTGTCTTTTTCTGGATCTGAGGTGTGTATCATAGCTGGTAAAAATAGAAGTAGGCCTGCTGAGGTCATGCAGGGTAAGGTTTGCTTTCACAGTTCTGTTGCTGTGGTAAGAGGAAGTTGTGTTTTACCTCTTGGTCTTTTCAGGGTCAGTCATTTAATATGCTTTTCTATGAGAGTGTTTCTTCAACACAAATAAGATTTCACATTCAGTGCAATGTACTGTTCTGTGGTACATCTGCAACTTCATTAGGATGCCAAATGCAGTCACTCTTGAGGATTTCTTCAGTATTAATGTTTCTATGTTATAAAGTTGGCAGTGATGAAGCAGAGAATATCAAGTCCTGCCATGGTATGACTAATAAAATTAACCTAAGAGCAGTGTTTTACTGGAATTCGAATTGTGCCAGGAATGTCTTCTAACTTAAATCACAGGTAGCTAAATAGGAACTAAATCAAATAATGAAACAGTTGCAAGGCGCACTTGCTAAAGAGCTGGGTCTTGGGCATGTTACAGCTGCTGTGGGCCTTGCACAGAGGTACCTTCTTGGCTCTGACTGAGGAGAGGCTGGGCCCTGAAGGCAGGTCCTCCATGTGGTTTGCAGGGAGGTTCTTAGGCTGAAAGCCCCAGAGCCATACTGCAGGATGGATGGAGCAGTGTCATTGTTAGCTCAAGTGCTAACGATGGAGGAGTCTGAAAAATGGGGATTTCCTTTGTCGCTGCTTTCCAGTTTTCTTTTAAACACCTAATTTGTCCATGTTCCTTCCTCCTACATTCACAAAACGTGGTCTTCAAAGAGTTGCAAACATTGAAGATGACAAGATTAAACCAATTCCTTCCTCTTAGGAAGGAACTCATTTCAATTTCAGTTTACTTTGGGTAGTAGAACAAAGAAATCAAGTGAAAGAAAAAAGGGCAGTAATCACACATTTTTTTAATCCACGAATATGATAATACATCATATACTTAAGATGACCATTGCCAGTATTTAGCAATGTTGTTACATAGCAAGCTACTAGTACAAAAGTAAACAATGAATATACTGGATATGCAAGTATGATAAATACTAAAAAACATCTTCTTTCCTTAAGGCTACTCTGATTTATAAATAAGATGACAGGTGTTCAGCTGGCTCGTCTAAAATATCAGAATCTGGAACATCGGCACTTGCAACACACAAAAATTCACGTATACAGGATATCCCTTTTGTTTTGGACATCTTCAGTGTTGAATAATCTTTTGCTCTGGCTTAAAAAAAAAAAATCCAAACAACCAACCAAACTGACATATTTGCTACAGGAGAAACAAACACACAGATGTGACCTGTGCACTGGAACAGGAGTTCTGGATATAATAACTGTGGTTCAGAAGTGTTGGTTGACAGGTACGTGCTCTGAGAAAGAAAGCAGCTAATGGTGTGTGTAAATATGACTCTGCAAATGTTGAAACTTGCAACCTTGTAAGGCAAATCTTAACAGACTTCCAGTCCCAAAAGTTCATATCTCATTCCCACGCTGAGTTGTAAAGGAATAGTCTGTATTCACTGCTACTGAATATACTCTTCGTGGTTGAAGGAAACATGACGGAGAATTACATCGATACCAAACTGCTCTAGTAATGTTTTGTGCTGCCATTTTCACTTGCTTCGAAATGCATTCTTTTGGGAATGGATGCTTCTAGCACAACTGCAGAGAATACACATAGTTGAGGTATGTGTATTCTCAGCTGTATGTAGGGAAGTACAGCAATTATTCTCAGAGTGAGAAAAGGCAGAAGAACAGAATTTACCTCTGTATTTAAGATTTTAAATGGGACAACAATTTTTTTTGTTGTCGTGAAGTAATAGGTGACAGTGCTTGGAAGTTCTCCTTAGGGAGGGATGGCTTTCAAATATATGGGAGTGTCTGCCGTGTCATGAGAATGGAGAAACCCCATGACACTGAATGTCTTGGCAGACTGAGGTGAGTCTGAGAGGTCAGAGGCATGGGGCAAGGAGAGATTTCTGCACATGCTTCCTTTATGTAGGGTCAGCCAGCATCAACCCAGCTGTAAGATTCTGCAAGCAGCAAGCTGGCTTATCTGCTCTGGTTCTCTTCCTTAATGATAGCAAAACTTGACAGAAACCAGTATTCCTTTGCAAAACATCTTTTGTTTCAGGACAGCGGTGCGTTTTGCTTAAAAACAAAAAAAGCAGAACACTCTGAACCAGTGGGTTGTTTACGAAGCTCACCAGAGTTGGTAGCGTTCTCTTCAAAGGGCTGTGGACATACTGCACTCAGATGGCACTGTGAGCAAAGCAGGTGGGGTTCTTTTTTGTCATTGTTGGCACAAATTGATACTATGGACACATTAAAATGAGAGCTTTACTGAGGCTGAATGTTATCTATTGAGGATATGAGATGTTAATGTTGCTTTGTACAGCAAGTGGTTACTTAATTGTGTTCCTCTTCAAAAGTGCAAAATGTTCGCAAGGAGTATTTTGCTCTGACAGAACAGTGTGAATGCAAAGAGCAGCAGCATCTCCAGCCTGAATTCATCCAACGTTATCAAATACGCAGCACCTGAGACTGGGAGAATTCAGGAACTACTTCATGTTTTTTCTTGATTGCCTTTGAGCTTCAATCACTGAGCTGTTCTTCAAAATTCATGTGAAGCTTTTTTTGAGTATAAGCCAAAAATTTCTAATGGAAATATTGTTTCATAGAGCAGCTCTTTAAATTTTATTCTGATTTACTTGTTTGTATTATTTATTATCCCTAAATAGACTTAAATACCATGTGAATTCAGAGATGCAGTCTCACACTGATTCCTGATCATTTTAAAAGGAAAGAGCTTAACGCATCACAGCCTTACCTTCTAAGCCTTTTCACTTGCTGTTGGAATAGTAAAAACGCACACACCAAGGGCAGTCTGGGTAAATTCCATGCATTGCTCTTTTGCCATCACCTATTTTAACACAGCCATGCTTTTGAGCTTACTTTCTTTTCATGTGTTCAGCCTTGACCACAAAGCTAGTAAGATCATGATGTACAGCAATCTATTTCTGAACAATATATATCAGCAGTTTTTTTTCATGCCACACCTTGGAAAAGACTCAGTTATCTGTGAACAAAACATTATAACTGATAGCTTTCTGGTTTAGGTTTTTCCCTTCATCGTGTGCCAAGTGAGCACCTTCTGGCTCCTGCTGGAGACTGCAGTAAGAAGCGCAGGAAGGATGCTCTCATGCTCACCGTGGCTCATGAAGGGTGGCCAGTTCTAGGCAGAAGTTTTTTGGCTTGTTTCTTGCTTCCAAGCACAGTTTCAAAGGATCTTCTCATCAAGTAGTTTGTTGATGCCATCGCAGATCTTTTTGAGGTATGGCCGACAATCCCCATCCAGGCTGTACAGGGCAGTTAGAAATTCCACATCTGCAAAGTGATTGAAGACGTGGTTGATGCGCCCGTGGGATTTCGGTGTCAGGTGCCGATCTACCAGTTCATGCACAAGGTCTTTACACTCATTCAGGAGTTCTGCAAGAACATTTCTGTCAAAAGTGTATTCTACCTCATAGAAACTGACAATTGTCATGGCAGTTTGATTCAGCTTCTTCCTGAACTTGTCTACAATTTCCATCTCTTCGTGGTTGAACTGATTATTTCGATAGAGGATCCCAATTTTTATTGCCACTTTAATCAGGTCTTTCATAATTTTATGGGCTTCCTTTTTGTTTCTGGTGTGTTCCTTTGTTACCTTGTACAGCTCATCAAAGATTTCACTGCTTGTGTCATCGATGAGCATGTTAGCCATGGTTTTGGTTGCCATTTTACTCAGGATCTTTTTCTGGGCTTGCAGTGCAAGATTCTTGGAACTGAAACAATCGGGACCTGTTTCAGGATAGCAGAAAAGAGGGAAAATGTTAATTTTACTTGGTGAATCGTTTTTACCATCAGGTAAGAAAAGCAGTAGCTGTGTGTTTAAGTGTTAACCATGTTTCAGGTCTTGCTGTCACTGAGGTTTTTTTCTTACAAATGGAGGACTGGATGTCCTGGTGGGGGATCCCCAGGCCAGGTCATTGCTAGCCACTGGTTCACTAGCAGCAGAGCTTTTTCTGGTCAGTAGTTCTGTGTTAAAGCTTTCTTGGTAGAGAGCTCTCTTGATGTTGTGCCTATATATGTAAATAAGAAAAACAAAATATTTGCAAATATTTACTCAAACTTGAAGGAATTCTACCTCTTGCCATTGGGAGGCACTGTTGCTGCGCGGTCAGTCTGAGCACCCTCTGTGCGGGCCACTACAGCAGTCATAGATGTGCTTTTATTTTGCTTCGTCTCCAGTAACTACGCCTTTCTCATTTGCTATCGACTTGCAAAACTCTAGGATACGGTTTCGTTTGCCTCAATACATGTGATTCTGCTAGCTGAAAATACCTCAGCTACTTTCTGTACATTCATCAATAAATACAAATATCTTGCATTTTTCTTTTACCTGTCTGTGCAGGTTTCACTCAGGACAGAGTCAGAGCATGCAGTTCATGTGCAGCACGTGGCTACTGCTGTTGGACTTGATCCAATAAAGGGGAGGGGAGGACCACGAGCACGACCCAGAGGGCTGGAGCACCTCTCCTACAAAGACAGGCTGAGGGAGCTGGGCTCAGTCTGGAGAAGAGAAGGTTCTGAGGAGACCTGAGAGTGGCCCTCCAGTGTTTAAAGGGAGCTCATAAACAGGAGGGAAACCAACCTTTAACATGGGTAGGTAGTGGCTTTAAACTGCAGGAGAGGAGATCTAGAATAGCTGTTGGAGAAGTTTTTCATGGTGAGGCTGTGGATGCCCCATCCCTACAGCTGTTCAAGGCTGGGCTGGGTGGGGCTGTGGGCAACCTGATCTAGTGCTGATCTGGTGTTAGCAACCCTCCCCATACAGGGGTTGGAACTAGATGATATTTGACGTCCCTTCTAATCCAAGCCATCCTATGATAACAACTGGTAGTGATTAATTTGACCTTCCTCTGCTTTTCACCTTAAAGTTGTTTGTTTTTCATGGACTTTGTGTGGACAAAATAAAGGAAATGGAAAGATTTCATCTGAAATGGGCTCCAGTTTAGAACTATGTAGCAGGATCCCCATTGGCTCCAAGGGTACTTCATCACTGATGAGCATGTGTGTAGCTTGGGGACCTTGCTGTGAGGTGAGGAACAGAGCACTTGGGCCCTTTGCCAGCTGCTGGGGAACCTAAATGCTAAGAGATTTAAAAAAAGTTCCAGTGCTGATTTGATTTTGGACCCTGAGCTCATTAGGCCTTTTCCAGCCATTAGCATATAAATAGTGCCTGTAACAGCCTGCTGTAATTCAGTTGTGCGGCAGGGATCTGTCAGTGGCTGGGGGTGCAGATGTCTGTATCTCTGTATCGTGTTCCACATGGCCCTCCCTCACTCACAACTGTTGTGCTTCACCACAGCCTCTTGGTGCTTTCTTTATTCCACGATGCAGCAGTAGATATGGGAATTTGAGTCACAGAATTATCTGAGTTGGAAGGGACCCGCAGAGACCATCTAGCTCAACTCCCCTGCAATGAACAGGGACACCTACAGCTGATAAAGTCCTTCCAGCCTGATGTGGGCTGTCTCCAGGGCCGGGGCACCCACCACCTCTCTGGGCAACCTGTGCCACCTCCTCACCACTCTTATTGTAGAAGACTTCTTCCTTATATCCAATGTAAACCTCCACTCTCTTAGTTTGAAACCATTCCCCCTTGTCTTAGCCCCTTATCGTTCTGTTTAAATTGTTTTCCAAGTTCACTAGAATGTCACATTGAAGTTGTCATCATTCCTTGTGCACTATATCTGTACTAGTGAGCTGTACAAAAGAATGCCCTTTAATTTCAGCTGAGCCACCACCTGGAAAACATGATTCAATGCGCTTGAAAGAATTGCCTGTCATTGGGAGAGCAAATTGTGGGCCTGGTCTGCTGACTGGAAGAAATAGAAAAACGGTGATTTAATCTAGAAATGATAAAACCAGGATGAGAGCATTCTTTCACATTGCAGTGTGTTGGAATATAAATAGTACCTGTGATGAATAATTATGTGCATTTGACAAAGGAAAATGGAAGATGAATATTAGTGTCTGTTTCTGTAATAAGCGTTTGCTATTAATTAAGTGGATGCGGGTGCTCAGTATCTGTTTTCATCAGAACTTGCAAATAATTGCAGGGGAGTTCTGGGATATTAATTTACTTGCATTATGACAATCCCACTGCTGTGTTGTCTCTACCGGCTGCCAGTCCAGTCATCTGTCCCTGTGCTGACAAGGACATAAAACTGTTTGAGAGTGGCCAAAGAGCTAGGAGAACATTTAAGGTCTGAGGGCGTGCTGTGTGAGCAGTGGCCGAGTCCCTGGGTTTGCTCAGCCCCGAGCAGAGGAGCTGAGGGGAGGCCTATGGAGGCTGCAGCTCCTGCCAGGGAGCTCTGCTGTCCGGGGCAGTGACAGGGCCTGAGGGAACAGCGTGGAGCTGTGCTGCAGAGGGGTGGGTGGAGGGGAGGGAAGGTCTGCACCAGAGGCTGGTGGGCACGGAACAGCTCCCCAGGGCAGTGAGCACGGCCCTGAGCTGCTGGAGCTTGAGGAGCATTTGGACACTGCTCTTTGCACAACACGAGGTGAGCCGCGTGAAATTCTGGCTCTTCTGAGCACGGCAGGTTTACAGTGGAAGTCTTCCTGCAATACATTTCTCTTTAAACATCTTCGCCTCCTACAGCCAGCGCTTCTATTTTCTGCTTTCTTTCACACAGCAAAACAAATCAGAAACAGCGTTATAGAAGCTATTAGCATTCAACAACGTTACACCAAACCTAAAAAAGAAAACCTAACTTCCCAGCACAGTGCTTTGCAAGGTAATGGTTAGTCCCTGTTATAGAAATTCAGATGTCTTAGTTTTCATTGAAGTACGGACCAGTTCTGCCTCAAGTCTTTTTTCCTCTCTTTAAGTCACCCAATGAGTCGTGCATGATGAAAGCTCTTCCAAAAGGCCATGCAAAGGGATTTGACCCCTCAGCACCATTCTGCACAGCTCCACAAACCTCTATTTTCATGGTGGGGTCACCACAGCCTGACCAGTGCTAGTCTGGGGACTGCCTGCATTCAGCTCTGCAGAGCAGTGCTGAGCACAACTCGCCACCTCACCATCTGCCCCTCACAGCGATGCCTCGTATGCACGAACCCTGATAACAGGGATGCTGGATAACAGGACTGCCTCATGACAGAAGTGTGAAAAGAGTTCGGCAGCTCTAGGGAGGGGAAATAAGATTTTTGTAAGAATTTTAGGAGTTTTTGAGCCTAAAAGGCAAGAGCATCTGTAATATTCTCAAAATAATATGATTCCAGATGGCTGTAGCAAGTACAAAATGGCTAGAATCAAATGCTCAGTGAATGCATTTTTTGGTAAATATCCATTCAATCGTTACATAAGTGACAGCAGACATAGTACATGCCCCCACTATGCATGGGAGAGAACATAACTGACTTTCTGGAAATAAGGACATGGAAACAACCACCCTGAGCAGATGAATCTAATTAGCCACTTCTTAGCCAAAGCCTTAATAAAGTTTTGCAGCTAAGATATTTTCATCGCTGGCAAAAGGCTCAAGTGGCATTTCCTTGAACTCTGAAGGGAGTGTTCATTCGCAGGTAAAAATGTATGGAGTAGAGCTGGTCTGCAGAAGTGGAGTTTGCCAAGTGCTATTTAAAAAATTATGTTGGCTTGCTTGAAGAGAAGGGATATGAAGCAATCAATCTGGTTTTGCCCCACTTGTGAAGGTCAGATTGGGTATCTGATGCTGGGAGCTGTTACTATAGTGCCTGTTACAGCTTTTGTGCTGATCCACCAATTAGCTGAATGCCTCCTCTGCCTCACCTGAAGCAATGACACCTGCAGCTGTGTGTTACCTCTCTTTGAAACTGAGAGTACCTGAATCTGAGCTAAAATGCTGGCTGCCCTGTGCTGCGCTGCTCTGTGCTGCTGGATCCCTGCTGAGCCCACACCAGCCCCGTAGAGGTGAGCAGGGCTCTGAAGGTACTGAGGTCTGCAGGGCTGGGAGATGATGTGAGTCCAGACGGGTCCGTGCAGCTGTGCTGCATGTTACTGAAGGGCTGCATCTTGAACTGAAAAAGAGGGAAGTGTGCAGGAGAATGAAGATGATGAGGAAGCTAAATTATTTTTAATACTCCTGAATCCTCATTTTTTTTTAAATGCAGTGCAGCCTCTGCAGCAAGAGGCAGCCTTCAAGGAGTCAGCAAAGCTGCCGGAAATGTGGGCACCCATCCAGCTGCTGGCAGTGCTCCGGTCTGGAGGAGGGGGACAGAGCCAAGGAACAGGCATGTCCTCTGATCTGCCACTGCCTGAGAGCTGCACCGCGGAAAGTGCTCTGGGGTTGGGCACTGCTGTGCACAAAAGGAATTTACTGTTTTCATGACTTCAATGCTTCATGTGCAATCTATGTATCTTCATGTTGTATTGTGCACCTGCCCCAGAAGCTGTAGAGTTTGGGTATGAACAAACAGGGCAGTAGTGCCAAAAGTTGTGCCATTGCATGGAGTGTATCAGAAGCTGTGGCACGATGGGATGTGGCTCAGCGATTCATTAGGTCAGGATGACGGTTGGACTTTTGCAGCCTGGATGGCTCCATAATGCTCCTACCAGGAGTTAAATAAGCAGCAGGTATCTCTATGGCTGCTCAAACCTGCTGCTGTTATCGACAGCTCGGGCTGACAGCTTGTTTTGGTACAACACGGTTCACCGTAATGTCTCTTTATCTTGAGATAAATAGCTTATAAAGCATAAGTAACCTCTGATGAAAATAAGAGTAGGATTCATTAAGCTTCTATGGACAAGA